TTACTTACTGTATCTTACTGCATATCTCTTATACAATAAACCTGTATCTTCACACATGAAATATACACCTATATACAGCATATAAAATAGGAATATAAAAGTACCAAAACCAGACACGCAAACCAATCACAACAGAGGGAGAGAAAATCATGTCTTCCTTTGCAGCACCGACTCCTACGGCGACGTCTGCAGGATAAACTTCAGTCAGCCACAGCGCGATTCCTTCTTCGACATCCCGGCAGAAGACGTGGCTGCTTGGTACGACGCCATGAAGACGTTCCACCGACTCCTGGCCGATCCTAAGAACTGCCTGCACTTCAAGATGACACCAGGTAGAGCTTCTGTGACCGCTTATGTTTTTTTTTTTTTTTTTTTTTTTTTTTTTTTTTTTTTTTTTTTTATTTATCTTTTCTGGGATTCTGGTAAACTGGTGGTTGGTCTTTGTGAGTTTTGCTCTTAAATACTGATCTTATTTTTATATATTTTTTTCGTTCTTAGAATCGTTAGTCTTTTACACCTAAAAAGAAAGAGAGAGGGAGTGATAATGAAAGAAAAAAAGGAAGAACATTGAAAAGTAGATAATTGCAAAAAAATTTAAAGAAATCAAGGTTTATGGATCTGAAAGTAGCATGAACTTGACACAGTAAATTCAGCTTACCATTATCATTTACTTAAGTGAGTGCAGACTGTAGAGAAAAATGTGTATATGTATGTTTGCTTCATACACGGTGCCTATAGTGCAAGGGGTACATGTCTACTTTAGGATCTGGTGGTTGTTAACTTAATATGATGTTGATCCGTTCCCCAATGTCTTAAATAAGTCATTAGTAAAGCAGAAGGAAAAACAAATAAATTCCACGAAGAGCGAGAGAGAAGCATCATTCGCCCTCTCTAAAAGTCCTGGGAGCCTGACCCTTTTTCCATTCAAGGTCACTCACCCCTTCGCATAATCCAGGCTACGCTTTTGACCTCTCTTATTTGAGACCTTTTACAAATCACCCCTTCGTTTTTCCTCTTCCAGGTACTATCATGACCTTCGATAATCTAAGAATCCTCCATGGTCGCACAGCCTACTTGTCCGGGTACAGCGCCAGGCACATAGAAGGCTGCTACGTGGACTGGGACGAGGTCAGGTCACGACGGCATGTGCTGGAGAAAAAGCTCGGCGTGAACTCTCGTCGGCTGGTCAGACGAGAGGAGTAGAATTGCAATAGACGTGTTGTTGTTGAATAAAGAAATATTGAAAACCGAAATATGTTTCCCTTTATACATTCTCTACATACATATATATATATATATATATATTTACACATTTTTTCACATTTATTAGATATTTCGATTAAAGAAAAATAATGCAATGAATGTTTGTGGTCAATATTTCTGAGTATCGTAAATATTGTACATGAGGATTTCCTTGTCACTTTAACCATGTAAAGTGATAAGATTGTGTCTGTGGCGTCTGATTTTCCCAGCTCAAGAAATCCTGTCTTGTGAATACTTACAAACCCCATGCAATGTACCGAGATCAATGCAAGGATTTCCATAATTAACCTAGGAATTATTAATTTCTATAAACGTAACATTTTCAAAAGTCGATCTGTTGCCTCCAGACATAGAAAGATTTGTTTCTTTAACATTATGCATGCGTACATTTTTTTCTACCAAACCATGGCTCACCCAGCTCATAAAACTCTTGTACCAGAAACTAACAATCTCGTTGAAATTTTGCCTTGAATTTTATATTTCGGCTGATTTGACCATTTGAATACTGCCTTATCCGTGTGCATGTTTTTTTTTTTTTTTTTTAACAAACCCCCTTACTGTGCTTATGCATAATGATAGTAACCTTTCTGAGGTTCAGGTCTTATCCAGGGAAGGTTCTCTCTCTCTCTCTTAGCAGTTCCAATAGTGTCATATATATATTTCTTTCTCTCTCTCTCTCTCTCTCTCTCTCTCTCTCTCTCTCTCTCTCTATATATATATATATATATATATATATATATATATATATATATATATATATATATTATATATATATTACACAGACACTATAGGAACTGCTAAGAGAGATAGAGATACCTTCGACATAAAACTGGATAGATCAAGAAACTGATTCAAGAGATGTTTATGGCTCCTGCGATGCAGATGAGCAATTAACTTAGCAATCATATCTGATATAACTCTTATATCTTGCGATAGCTTGCGACGATTAGCATAGGTCTTGGTTGTATCATTGCCTCAGGGGCTAGTACATTATTTTTCAACTCGTATTCTTTTCTGGACTATAATTTACAGGGACAAATATGCTTATGGACATCTAACATCTAGCAATTTACTTTGGTTCTCTTGGACATCATCTGCACCACGAAAGCTGTTCTCTAAAAGGCAGCTTTCAGTCTTTTTTTTATAGTTTACGTCTAGGTCGTGGTCCAGGTGGTCATTTTCCTTTGTATTCTCTGCTGTCTGTTTCATTATTATTCCTTCTCCACTTGCATTTCGG